TTTTTTGCTGCTTAGTTTGTGAGATTTGGATATGTGTGCACCGGTGTGATATAACTATCTTATTGCTAATGTCGCCTTCTTTGATAACTTTTTGGAAAATAAACGTGTTTGTTGTGTTTATTTTTTGTGTATTCACCGTATTGTATTGAATAAAATGGTTATGCGGCCCGTGCTCGTCATTCTCTCAGTTATCTGGCCGCTGTGAAAAAAGGTTGGTGACCCCTGTATTGAGAGATAAATGAACTTCCAACTATTTTTTCTCCATCTATTGAGAGATAACTGAACTTCCAAGTATTTTTCTCCATCTATTGAGAGACAACTGAACTCCCAAGTATTTTTACTTAATTTTTTTCCATCTATTGAGACACGGGTCACCAAACTATGGCTCGTGTGCCAGATCCGGCCTGCAAGGTCAGTTCATCCAGCCCACCGCTGCACTGTGCTACAAATGAGCTAAAATATAATCATTTATATCGAAATATAATAGATTGTAGATAAAATTACTATGCAGAAAAAATTAAAATAAGTCTAAGAAAAAATGTCCAAATTTGTCCAATCTGATTTTTTCATCCGACAGTAATACAAGTTTTAGGAAAATCAGTAAAATAAAAATTTCGGCGACTTTGGATATCGGAGCGCTTTTTGTGTAATTACCTGCAATGAGAGTTCATTTCTGCAGTCACCTATGCGTGCATTGTTGTAAGATGATACAATGCTTACAGGCAGTTGATACAAGTAGTGTGACGAGTGTGCGCGTGGTTACTCAACTTTGTGATAGAGAAGACGTGTGCGTGTATTGCGTGTGCTTCTACATTTGTGTGTCGAACATATGTTTTTACATATTTATTATTAAATCTGGAACACTGGTTCAATATTAAACCCGAACAGGCGACTTTGGATATCAGAGCGCATTTTGTTTAAGTACCTGCAATGAAGTTTCCAAGAAAAGCAATTACGAGCCTGCTGCAGCGATCGTGTTTTAACTTGCATTGCCGTATTTAAACCGGTTTGAAGAGTGTCGTATATAAAAGGGACTGACTTCAGTGAATTATGTCATATATTTTGCATATTTCAGTGTTGAAAGAGCTCACAAGAGGAAGCATCTAATATTTTCAAACTTTGATATTTATTTAAGCCCTATATTCTAATCGCTATATCCTTAAAAAACGACTTAATTAAATTAACGAAGATTATAATTAAATTAGTATCAAATTCTTAATACAATCTTTGCCTATTAAGATTCTTAATATTTTTATTAAATATGATCTTAATTAATTCATAATACAATCTTTGCCTATTAAGATTCTTAATATTTTTATTAAATATGATCTTATTTTTTTTATATTTATGAAGCTCTTCTAATTAACTTACATAATAAATTTAAATACATTGGCAAATTTCTTAATCAAATAACTTATCGGGAAAAAACTTTTAAACCATTTACGTAATAACGTAATTTAATGTCATGAAATATTTACATTTAGTTTGTCATGTTTATATACATGTCAAAAAAATTTTGAAAAATTATTATTTTTCTTAAACACACATTGAATAGTCTACCAAAAAAAAATAAACAATTGTTTTTCATTTTCAGATCCTGTTTTCTTCACCCATCGTTATGGCTACTAAGAAAAGAAAATTAGGTGCTGAGTGTTGCCTTTTAAATGAAGAATGGGGAGAAAAGTACTTCTTTGTGGAAACAAACAAACAGAAAGCTAGTTGCATGATATGCAACGAAAGTGTTGCTGTTTTGAAAGAGTACTATGAAACAAAACATCTGTGAACATATTCGAAGTTTTCTGGAAAGTTGCGTTCTGAGAAATTTGAGTTCATGAAATGTACTTTGGAATCTCAAAGGAATCTCTTCATGAGAATGTTTGCTGAAAATGAATCTGTCACTTGTACAAGTTACAAAATAGTGCATAAGATGACAGAGCGAGGAAAACTGTTTACTGACGGCAACTTCATCAAAGAGTGTATGATGGAAGCCGCAAATGACTTGTGTCCTGAGAAAGCCGATTTCAGCAAGTTCAGTTGTGCGGAGAACAGAAGAACTTGGAGAGAACATAGTGTTACAGATACGCGAGAAAGCTAGGAACTTCTTTTGGTATTCTCTGGCGCTGGATGAGTCTACTGATTTCTCGAGTACGTCACAACTTCTTGTGTTCATTTGTGGTGTTAATTTGGACTTTCAGATCACAGAAGAGTTGGCATCCGTTTGCAGTATGCACAGAACAACAACTGGAGAAGACATTTTCATGGAAGTGCAGAAAACTTTGCAAGGCTATAACCTCCAGTGGAATCAGCTTCGATGTGTTACAATTGATGGAGGAAAAAACATGGCTGGAGTGAGGAAGGGTCTGGTGGGGCAGATACGAACTAAGTTGGAAGATCTTCAACTCCCGGGCGCTCTGTTTATACACTGCATTATACATCAGCAAGCACTCTGTGGGAAAGACTTAGATATTTCTTGCATACTGAAACCAGTCGTTTCTGAGGTGAACTTCATTCAGGGTCATGCACTTAATCACCACCAGTTCCAGGCTTTTCTTGAAGAAATTGATTCTGAATTCTGTGACTTGCTTTATCACACAGCAGTGAGGTGACTCAGCTGCAGTAAAGTCCTGTTTCGTTTTTATAAGCTCCGAAGAGAAATAGATATTTTTCTCACCAAAAAGGATAGAGCTGATCCACTTCTGTCAGATCCTACCTGGCTGTCAAAGTTGTCATTTTTGGTTGACATCACATCCCACATGAATGAATTGAACTAGAAACTTCAGGGAAAGGATAACTTTATCTGTGATCTCTACAGAATCATCTAAGGATTTTGGAGAAAGCTATCATTGTTTGAAGCACAACTGGAAGGAGGAAACTTCTCTCATTTTCAGTGTTTTAAAGACACGCTGGAATCGCAGATGTCAATCTCTAGTGTCTGAAGAAGATTATTAGTGACTTAAATAAGCATTTTTTTGAGAGATTTTCAGATCTCGACAAAATTGAGAGTGACATTCTTCTGTTCCAGAATCTGTTTGATTGTAACCTTGATGGCGTGCTAGTCGTACTACAGCTGGAGCTCATTGATTTGCAAGCAAATGACTTGTTGAAAGAGAAGCACAGAAAAGGAAAACTTGTTGAATTTTATCACTGCTTACCTGA